TGTCTCCTTTGAGAAAGACTCAATGTCGTCACGCTCAACAGTTTGTTTTAGAAATAATGTGTATTAAGCAATTAAACAGCTAACAGGTCGTGTTCTCCCCATCCCCAAGAGTTTGGTGGGGAGTTGGCAAGTCTAAGGCACGCTCCATCCTGGTGTCCCTCGGGGGCGATGTGTGGGAGCCATGGGGACCACCATGCCCTTGGTTGTTACCTCTGGTATCCCCTGTGGCAAAGACCTGCAGGGAGGTGCTGGCGCCAGGTGGGACACACCACCTGAGAGAGACGTGTGTTTTTCTTGTGTAAGACATTGGTCTCCACTGCTGGAGCGGCACAGAACTAGTATTAGTTACTGGATGTGCTGCTTTTTGGTTGGGTTTTTTTTGGTTTGGTTTGGTTTGGTTTTTCTTAAATTGTATATTCCTACCTCCCTAAAAATACATCTCTTGAATGACTCATTTTTATGTTAAAGCTCTCATCTTCTCTTTTCTAGGTCACCACCTTCCATCCAAATACGAAGAACATTTGTTACAGCGAGGTGCCTGAAGCCAACTCAAAACGCAGTGTCCTTCTGAACTCTGAACCTTCCCTGTTCCGTGCTGGATTAGATGGAAGGTACACCGGTCCACTCGGATTTCGTGGCAGCACCTGGCCTCTACTCAGAAGCTACCGCTCTGTCCTAATGTCCTAATGGTCAGGAGATAGGGAGATCCAGCTCTAAAAATAGCGTGCTGTAGCTAGGTGGGGGAGTTCCAGGAGTGAATCATTGCTGGGAGAAGAAATAGGTTACTTTTCTCCTATTTCCAGGACACGGTCTGGTGGGCAGGTGGAACGTGCCTGACAATGTGCCTTTGCACGTGGCTTTCACCAAAAAAAAAACCAAAATCCAGGAGCTGAAATTCACAGTGACAGTCCTACAGAGCAACTCCTGGTACCTTGCCAAGTCTCTGTGGACCTCTGAGGGGGAGCTCTGCTCAACATCCATGACTTTTTACAAGGGCATGTAGTGATAGGACGAGGGGGAATGGCTTCGAACTGGAAGAGGGGAGATTTAGATTAGGTATTATGAAGAAATTTTTCACTCTGAGGGTGGTGAAGCACTGTCCCAGGTTGCCCCGAGAAGCTGTGGCTGCCCCATCCCTGGAGGTGTTCAAGGCCAGGTTGGACGGGGCTTGGAGCAACCTGGGCTGGTGGGGGGTGTCCCTGCCCAGGGCGGGGGGTGGGACTGGATGATCTTCAAGATCCCTTCCAACTCTAATCATTCTATGATTCTATAACTCTGGACTTCACGTCCCCAGGAGTGGTTGTCCTCCTGCAGCACCTGGCTCCTGAAAATCTGCGTTGGGTGCTGGACTCTCAGTAGCGTTGCCCATAGCCATGTTCCTCAAGTCACAGGAGGTGGTTCAAATCAGCAGCGTTCACTGGGGCGAAGAGGTTTCCATGTGGAAAACCACTGCTGGGTGGATGCCGGGCTTTACACCCTGCCTCTGGAGACCCTCCTTTGCTCCCACAGCCCGGCTTCGTGCCCGTGGCCGTGTGGTGGAAAGCTGTGGTGGTGGCCGGGGTTTACGGTGAGTTAGGGGTTCGTTTCTGTAAAACACGAAGAAGCTTAAAAATAGGAAAGGGTTAAAAAGGGCTGGACACCGGTTTTAGCTAGATAATTGCCAGAAAAGGTGCTGATCAGTTTTGCGACATCGCGTCACATCTCTCAGGAGCTCCAGCGCTCAAGTGTTGTAACTTGCCAAACTTCTGCACGTTTTTAGGGACAGCCGATGCGGAAGAGCTGTGGGTTTTACATCCCAGTGCAGCAGACCTCTACCTGTGCACGAGTATTCAAATATTCAGAAAAAAAACATTCGCCCTTAAAAAAAGAAAACCAGATGTCAAAAGAATAACAACTTTGTAATTCCCAGCTTTATAATAATGCTGACAGTAAAGCTGAGCTTAAATTAAACTGTTAAGAAGAGGCGATGGTCTGAAAATGTGAGATTTCAATAAAATGTTGCACAAAACTGCTTAGAAGCATGTGTCCCTTAAATGACGCTGATGGCACTTTAAATTCTAACACTGCCCCATCGCATTAGAGACTCGGTTACTATGAAAGATTGTGCCAGTGTTAGAAAAAAAAATAATTTGTAGTTGTCACCCAGCTACGAAGGCGTTTCAAGCAGATGAACAAAAAGAAAGATAATCCTTTATTTTACTTCTTATTGAACTGGACCTCGGGCAGAAACGACTGACTCTGTTATTAATGGGGGGGGAGGGGGGGAACCCACTAAAAAGTCAGCCTGTCTGCAGTTACAAACTCAAAATTAAGTTGCAACGCTGTGTTTCAGACAGGCAGGTCCTACATTACGTATGGAGATAGTTTGGGATGTCCACGTTGGTTATCGGAGGGCACAGCCCTACAGGAATGTGGTGGTCCCCACCCTTGAGGTCAAACGACATGTTGACATCGAAGGATGACGGCAATCCCGTTCCGTCAGAGGTTCAGCTGTGAGTGGTATGCGGAAACAAGATGCCGCGGGCAGGGCCTGGCTGCCGGCACGCCGGGGAGCTTCACCAACACCTCGCAGAGCTCCGCCGTGTGGGGCAGACCGCAGGTGGGCATCTTCAACACCTTGGTCATGCTGGGACCTTCCAAGGCAACGGCAAAGTGCACCTTCTCCACCCCGTGGCCTCAAGTCCTGTTTTCCAAGTCCTAGCTGCAAACCAGACCTTTGAAGTCATTCCCCTTCCCCAATTTCCTCCCAACTCCACCAAAACACGTGCTGCCCCTTCCCTGCCCCGTAGCCGCCGCCTGCTGTGGAAAGCAGTGGACATCTGGAAGCAGGGTCATCACCACTGCGGTGGGACGCGAGCAGAGCGTGCGGGAAAGGCATGCGCATCCTGACAGTTAACCGGCACTTTCCGAGGCAGGAAACCATCGGTTCCTGTTGGGGACCTGGCCCCATGAGGTCACCCGCGGAAAGAAAAGGGGACGAGAGGCGCCGAAACTGGAGTTTGGTGGTACTTGGTGGTAAATCTCTGGAAACAGCTTTTCCCTATATAGTTTGAGACAGGTAGCGTATGTCTTCCTATATTAAATCCTTAACATTACATGATCCTTGCAGTTATTATTTTATACACAGACATACCCTGAATGAAATATTTAGGTCATGTATAAAGAATTATGACCTATACTGAAAACATTTAAAAGCCTTTTCTTTTTTTAGAAAAAAAAAAAGAGAAGTTTATTTTCCACAAGGAAGAGCAATAGGAAAAATTAAATTGTTTTCCACATATTGTTTTCTTGAAACAGAGTCTACAAGGACATATTCAGCACCAAAACTAAAACCAAAAAAAAAGTACAAACAGCCATAGAATATAATCTATAAAGCAAACATTTAATATTGCACTTTGTTTCTCTAATGTTTGGATTTTACTTACTTTTTCCTAATTCAGGTCAGAATTCTATATCAAATACTGGGCTACAACTGTGAACCTCATAACGCTGAGAATTGACCAATACTTGTGGAAGAGTAATGCCTCTGAACAACTTACAACGCAATTTAACTGAAAGTCTTTATTTGATAAGTTTGTAGAATTTTTCACTCTAATCACAAACGCTGTGATGCCACATCAATTACTACAATATTGGTCAATCCTGCTTCATATGCAGTTTTCCATTATATTGTGATAAGTACTTTAATGCTATGTATATCAGCAATTGTTCCCTAGTCTGTTGAAAATAATAAAAAAGGAAAAAAAAGTAAAACCACCAAATGCCCTTTTATGCCAACGATCCCATCAGCTTTTCAAATTGTCTGGTTGGAGAGGGTAGAGGGAAGGGACATCCACAAAATTGGCCTAATAAGGTAAGACATCACCCCATTTCCTTCTCATCCAATATTCTTGCTCAAAGCCCAAGCCTTTTAACTGAATCACTTAAAACGCGACTCATTTTATCACCCTGTTGTCATTTCTGAAACATGAATTATCATTCATGTTCTCATGAAGGCCACTTGTGGAAAAGCCTATTTTGTCGCATTTATGAAGCCTTAAAAACAAGGCAGAGGTTCTTTAAGAAGGAGCACCACAGCACAAACACCAGCCTCCCCTCTACCGCTCCCTTCTGAGCTGTTTTATTGCACGAGGATAGATACTCGACGGGTTACACTTAAGTTCATTTAAGTCGTCAACATCAGAAGTGTGTCCCTTTGTCAATGGTCTGCGTGTCACCCCATTTCTGAAAAAGGAAAGTTGACTTTTGTTGCAAAGCTCTAGCATTTAAGTGCTGGTATTTGCGTTAGCTCTTTTCTTCCTTGGGGCACGCTCAAGGGCCGAGTGCTCTTCCCATGTAATTTCTTGTGTTCTGAACAAATACATGGTGAAATTCACTGTTGTGATTGCTTTAAAGCTCTTGAGAGTACCACAGGAGATGCAGTCATTGTAGCAACTCTAGCTGACTGATATCCCAGTAGGGCTGGTAACACTGATCTTGCCCAGTTTAATTATACCTCTAGTCTTTCTAATTTTACAGTATCATAAACCCTGAAGATAATACAAAGTGCATAAACTGAGCTCTTAGCATAGTCCAAGCTTTTCCTGCAGTTTGAAATATACTTTCTACTAGAGACTCATTACATATAGAATTTTTGGGGATTAGGTAACTATATATAAAAATAAATTTACTTTCCCTTCCCATCCCTACTACTTGAGATATCAACCTGTCTATGAATCCTAGACAGTGTATGACTATTTCCTTTTAAAACGCTTTTGAGGCCGAGCTGGTGTCTGCTGGTGCTGCTTTCATTTGTGCCTTTTTTTTTTTTTTTCTTTTTTTAAAGCTTCACAACTTGAACATAGAATCATGCCATGGGCAATTTTTTTTTTTATAACATCAAAAGTGAAATGAGAATGAGGGTGGGTTTTGTTAACTTTTGTGTATGTCCCTATTCCAGATCTCCCTCTCAAATAAAGAATAAAAACAAAACACAAACACAAAACAAAAAAAAAAAAGAAGTAACTCAACAGTGCAACATAATGAAACAAATAGCATTCCAACAGTTTGGCAAGTGATGAGTTCACCTGAGATTAAGTGATTTTTAGGCAGTCTGTAACAAAATGCTGCTTTGCAATAATAGTAGAAAGGCAACAAATTCTTAAAAGAAATCAAGAAAGTATACAGTCTTGATGCAGTCTATTAGTTTCTTTCTATTAACTCTCCACCCTCCACCCTATCCCCACATCTGTTGCTTATCTACTACAGTAGGCTGCAAAACATACAGCAAAAAGGATTGGCTTGAAGGCATTTGATGTTTGTAAATAAATCCACAACAGGATCCAAGCTGAAGAGGTGATACATGATCAGCCTACTAGGACAATTCTGAGCATGTGCATATGCAGGTAAAGTCCAGGCTACATTAAATTAAAAAAAGGAAAGTCAGTGCATTTGTCAAAGTCTGTTGTTGCTGCTGTTTTTTTTGTCAAAGCTTTCTTTTGCTCCTTATTGTGCGGACCACAAACATATAAGAAGGGGGTAACAACAGTCCGGCATAAATGAGAAAAAGCTGTAGTGACACTGAACCGCACAACGTAAGCAATGAGCATGTGCAAATTTCCAAATCATAAGAGGAAGCCATCCCTCTCTTACAATGTGGTTTGAGTGTTTTGACACACATGACTGTAGGTTAGTAAGGCTGCTCCTAATATGTGCCAGTATTTAAGGGGGAAACAGGAAAAAAAGCTCAGGTCTTCAAGCATGTGGAGCAGTCCTACAATGTTACCATAGGCTTCAAAGCGTGATCACAGGTTGTTTTCATTTATTCACCATACAGACAAGAGCAAAACCACTTCGCTTGAAAGTGTGTCTCCACTACAACTCCTTGACCTTCAACACGGCAGGTGTGATTCAGAACCCAAGTCAAGTCAGCTTTTTAAGGGTTCCTTCAACGAGAGGGGCAAGATGGTCTGTCATCTGTGGGCTGATCTGGGTTTGGATCAATCTAATCAAAAGAGGAAATAAAAGACAACCTTTAGAGTCAATTGCTAGAAATAAACCAATCCAAACCCCACCAAAACCGACAAGTTTAAGACAACCATAGTGATAAACAGCTATCCCAATCCAAAGGTTATTCAAGTAACTGAAAAACCTCCAGGCGATTAGACAAGATTTTGAATGAAAAATTAATAACTGAGTATAATGGAAAAATTTTGAAACTACAGTTTGATAGTAATTTAAGGATAAGCACCAAAGAACTGAGAAAAAACTTAAAATAAATCCGCTTCAATAGCACAGAAATCTTTTGAATTATTTACCACACGCTAAAAAGACAACTTGACTCATCACTAAAAATGTAACTTGAAAATATTTAATTGATTTCAGAAGATGTTTTGCTTCAAAAGACACGTTATCAGTAAAAAGTCATTCTACTTTTAATTTACGAGTAATTAATCCTCAAACACCCCATAAACTGTCTTAGAAGGTAAGGGGTGGAACACATGAACTCTTCTTTCTTTCTACAACAGGAAGAAGGGGAGCAACCTGCTAACTTTGGTCTAAAAAAAACTGTACAGTAAGAATAGTTTAAGTAGTTTAGTCAATGTTTTGATCAGTTAATTTTATAAAACCACTTTTTGAGGACACACAAGGCTTCTTTCTAAATCCTTAAGCACGTAAAATGAAAAGGGCTTAAGAGTTATTCTAGGGCAAAGCTATAGGAGTTCTCAGAGAAGTCTCCAGCACACAACACAAAAAAAACCCACCATGCCCCTCTAGTAGCACATTTGTGTTTTAGGAGGAGAAACCAAGAAAAAAATCAATAGTAGATGAATTCAGGCAAGATTTAGCCAAAGCTGACTATTTTACTTTTGTCCTACAACACTATTTTTTCCTGAAAAATAGGAACATGGAAAGCTTTGGAACTTATGTCACAGTCATTGAGTGGCTTTCGCAGAACTAAAAACACAGCCAGCAACATTGGGGACCTGTGTGTTTACAGAAACCTAAGTCAGAAAGAACACCTTTGAAAATTCTCTACCTGGAACTTCTGAAAGCTCTACAGACACAGAAGCGAAAATACACGGACAGTAGTTTTAAAGTAGAGCTGAAAAACATCAGTCATCTATAGGCCCAAAATGTTGGTGTTAACCAATGCAGTGTATTATACACATACTGCATGGTTTGAATGCAGTTGCTAACAGGGTACACAACAGTCAAATTTCTACAAAGCATTACAATTGTGAGGAATCCTGAAACCTCTTGATGCAATTCACCTGCACTTTGCTAAAACAAAGTCCCATTATCCCCTGTTCATCATTTTAATGATTTCTCCTGATTTCAGGAAGGAGAAAACTTCCAACATTTATTCCACAAGAAAATTCAGAAAAAACCCAGGGAATTAATCATCACATACTGTCCGAGCTACCTACCTCTGAATAGAGGGGTGGAGGCAGAAAACGGAACTCCTGGATGTATGCAAACAATGGTCCTGGAAGCGCTCTCTCAAAGTCATCACAAGCACCTATGGGTGCAAGGCTGGACTGTCTTTGCTCCTCTGTGACCACTTCTGCATAGCTAGGAGGTGCTGCAGGGAAAAGGCACACGCAGTTCGAACAACAAGTTCTTATGCATGTCAAAATATATAACACAAATATTAAACTTTTATCATTGTCAAATGCACCAGCAGCTAGGTAAACTACTTCAGTGACTTTTTAACAGTTTAACATGACAGAAAAGGTAGGCTGTTTTAAGATTATGCTCAAATCCAGAGGCAGACAGACCACCGCTTATTGTGGCTCACTTATCCCCTCAAAATTTAAAGGTTACTCAGAATACCACATTTCTGTACAGGCAGGAATGATAGAACATATTGCATCCCTCTGGACTCCACACAACTGAGTCTGGGATTTGTGTATAAAAAAAAAAAAAAAAAAGAGATGTTTATTAGGTATGTGAGGACAGAGATGGAGATACAGTTTTTCTCCCTTGGCAAAAGAGCTTTCCCCTTGACATGAACTACATTATCTTTTCACAGAGCTTTAGCTACCAAGGCCGGTAAAGGACACCGTAAACAGCTATTATGCAGGTTACAACACCTTGTCCCCAAGGATGCAATTTGGATACTGGAGGCAGAATTAATTCTGCACAGGTACAACAGCATCCTGTGATTCCACTTGTGCCAGCTTCCAAGCAGCTGGATTTCACTGCTTGTCCTTGAGAGGGGAAGGCAGGGAGGGAACTCTATTCTTCCACAGAGAACAAGCAGGTAGCCAGGAAACATCCACAAGGGATTTCCGGTGGGCTTTATTATGAAGGATGAAATTTGGGTCTGTTTGCACCGCAGCAATAAATAAAGCAGACAAATCAAAACAGACTAGCAAACTGACTGGGGTTCATATTGTCAAGTTACCTTCTGGTCTTTCAGGCAGCGTCAAACCAAGCCAATTCACATTCACACTACCCTGGCTGCTCACACTTGATGTTCTGCTACCAAATGGATGTAGAGGAATGGTACCAATGACCAGTGGTAAGTTGAGGAATAAATCCATGGCGCCTGGAATATCAACATATACCTAAAGAACAACAACAACAGAGGTGTACGATTAAAATGTATGTTTATATGAGCACTTTGTAATTACTAGAGTAAGTTCCCTGCCCATGGAATTTTCCACGAGGAACTTGCTTCTTACTGTCTGTTTTAGGGCCGATGCCCCATGCAGACAAAAAGCTCCCTGAATCAAAAGCAGCTCACGATTCTTAACATGAGGCTTCACATGGAAATGTCGCCTACTCATAACACACTGCTTAGCTGGCAGACCACAACTGTTTCAAGAACATGCAAGACAAACTGAATTTATGTACAGAACTCCTGTCAGGACACTGATACTCGGATGTGTATTTCCTCTGTAACTAGCTGGCACAGAGCACTTTGTTAGCTATTTGCAATGAGTGATGGAAACTACTCATGATCAAGCGAAAGAGACCAACATACCATCAGTGAATACTCCACACGGATTATACTACAGTCAAGGATTGAAGGGGAAACAGGTGGAATTTTCAACTGTTTGCCATTCCAGGTTTCTGTTTTGCCAGATGACAAGGACTCCCCACGCAGGTTGGCAACAAGCTGTTTGACTTCCTTCATTTTCCCTTTGGCATAAAATGCCTGCGTTTGGTAAATGGCTGCCTTTGGCACCACCACACGGGAAGAGCAGTTCTCGATCTCAGCAAAGATCTGAATTGATTCACCTGAAACAAAACAGAATTTCATGTTCTTTGTATTTGCAAGGCAGCTTATGCAAATTGCCACATTCTGTGATTTGCTGTAACGCACTGGATGCTGCTAGCAATGCTCTACCTTGAAAAACATCCACTGATGCTAACAGGAATAGGATCATCACGAGCTAACCCAGAAGAAAAATGCACTGGTCTAATGGAAGTATATGTCCTTCAACAATCGAGACACAGCTAGCTTTAGTTAAAATTAGTGGCAGTTAAGAAAATATCGAGAAGATTGCTGAATACGGACTGAGGTAGCAAGAATAGTTTAAATATTTCATTTACACACAAGCATCAAGTACAAACTGTCATTTTAAAAGGGAAGGAAAAACATTTCCTCTAATTACTTCTGTTACGTACCTGGGGTGTAGCCCTTCCTTTCAATTTTGGCACTTAAGGATATTGGGCCTGAGGTACAAAACCAACAACAGAGAGTCTTTTCTTTTGTGCCTGCTTGGGGTGACTGCAAGAAAAGAACAACATTGCCCATTTAATTTAGAGTTCTTTTGAATCTCTTCACCTATTTTAATCAACACAAAAGAACATTTTCATAATGTACTTACTACATATTTTGATAAACATAGCTAGTTTTATTTAGAAAAACACTCAAGCAATTTAAATGGCACTGTGCAGATACAAGGTTTATTCAATTCTATTACTCATTAACACTTGCTTTTTCTGCTACACTTCATACCACAGTCCCACTTAAAACAGTTTCTACACATAAATACCATGTAACTTAAGAAAAGGCTTTACAGCCTACATATCCCAAGATATTGCTGGCAGAGCTTTTAATTTATCAGTGAACATCTTTCCAGTACATCATATTTCAGAAAAAATAACTAAGCAGAAGTACTGTAACCTTGACTCCTGCTATTTCCTGTTTCAGAATGATCCCATTTCATCTATATTAAACAGACTTATTTTACATGGTATTGGAGTTTAGGACTTGATCCAAAGGCCATTAAAGTCAAATGGGAGTCCTTTGATTTTAATGGAATTTGTGCAAGGCCAATGTCCTTTCGCAAGTCTGATTTTTCACCCATACACACAAGAAACCTATTTCAATGGACTTTGATGGTTTTTTTCCCCCACTTCCACAGATCAGAATTTGAGGAAGAGGAGAAAAAAAAAGAGAAAAGTAATTTCAGGCCAGATTGAAATCAAATCCTCATTGAAATCAGCTGTGATAGTGAAATTATTTTATTGAAATGACATTTCAGAAAAAGATTATACAGAATTGTGATAATTTCTCCCCATTGGTAGAAAGCTATCCATATGGAAATTATCAATTATACACGCCAGTACATTTTTTACTTTGCATTTTTAAGTTAGCAGTCTCTCACTATAATATTCTTTTAAGTTCCACTGTTCCTTCCACAGATTATTCTTTATTCAAAATCAGAGGAACACTTCTCAAAATTTTCCTCCTTAATGACATTTTACAATTTGGTATTATAAATTTAAATTGACAAAGCCATTTTACATATCTTAAAAGTGAAGCAACTCCAAGTACAGTAAAACACAGCTTCCAAAATGCCAGTAGCTATAGAGTTGCTGAACTGATGTAATACTTAGAAGATCAGCTGTAACTGAACTAGTGAATAAATATTAGGTAAAATTAGATGCAGATATTGTTTCAGTTATTATACTTTATATATGTATTTTTATAGTTATTATACTTTATATATTTTTATGCCAGAAACAAAGAATGAGTAATTCTGTCAATTCTTACCAGTAATGAAGGAGTGTTGATATCTATATGTTCAAAGACTGTAAATTCCTTCTTTAATTTTACTGGTAGAAGCCAAGGCCTATGCAATTCAGCTTTCACCCAATAGCGCACACTGCCATGTCTGCCTTCGAATGAGGTAGCAAGTGGTCTGTGCAGGACACAAAGGTCAAAATTGAGTAACATCTTTCTGTCTAGTAATGATACAATTGATCAGATCAGGGATTAGTACGTAGAATTGCATTTTTAATGCATTGTAGTATTTAATGCAGCATAACTTATTTGCAAAGTTTCCATATCTCAGAAAAATTCAAGATTAAAGATGGGAGAAAAAATCATCTCCAATTCAGCCTACTACAGTTTTGCGTAGATTTTAAGACTCAATTAAAGAATTGTACTAGAAAACGCCAGGAGAGTACACACATCTCTTAAACTTAAGAGGCCACTTTCACATCTAAAGCAAAGCATGCCCTTTTAAAGACAAATTAAGACTACCAACTTAAAATTAGCATTAGCATCAACCAATTATTGGTTTGGGTATTTTAATTTGTAAGTCACTGTATATTGTTTACTTGGCTGGTATCTCAGTGTCAGGTTTATTTTATCTGTAACTCAGCACTTTATTAATTTGTTTCGCCTTAAGCAGAGTAAATATTACAATTTAGAGTTCTGAAGAGGAAGGCTATTCGAGTACCTTCTAATTTTCCTCCACCCTGATGAGACCAGCTTAAAACATTTGTATTTTATATGGATGTACATATATAAGCATATATATACACACATATAAATCATCAAGCCTATTCCGCTCTGAACTTTGACAGATGAAAGAAGTCCTTTTTGGAAGCTGGAGGAAAAATGATGTTGAAAGATCACCAAGCCTTTCAGCATCACCTTTTTTTCCTGTACCATCATAAAATGAAAGACAAAAAGATCTTTATATTCCAGGTAACTCCAATTAACAGTAATTTTCCGTAACTTTTTTCCCTTATTTTTATGCAAGTTTTTTCCTATTATATGATGTTTTGAATGGCTGAACAGCAGAGCCCTGAGGGCTGTGATCACCAGTCCAAAGTGCAGTTGGAGGCCCACAGCTAGCAGTATCCGTGTATAATCTTTTGTTTTTTCACATTTAAATGCCCCAGTTCAAGGGAAGATCAGTATTAGTCTTATTTCTTTTTGTAGTTGAGATTTTCAGCGAACACCAAGTTATCTTTACCAATCTCCATGTATACAGGTCTCCTCCACTGTTCCAGTAAGGTCTTGCGCTGTCCACTTTGGAAATGACCCGTAAAAGGGTTTATCATCTGCAGGTGCAGCTAAAACCAGCACCTCTAATAAACAGATGGTTTATTAGCTTCAATATTAGGTACTGAGCTATTTTTCACAGAACACGCTGCCAAACTTCAACCTTAATGCTTGCCTTTTACAGCAAAAGGCTTCTTTTTCCATCTATCCATGTCAAGACTCCCCCTGTTCCTGATACATTTGATTTTATTCTAACTTGTTTTTTTAGCTAATTTCCATATTGGTAACTCCTCTATGTCCGAATCTTCCATGCACAATGTCAACATTACACAGTTCAGAACTGGGGGGTGGGAGAATAATCTTTATCTTAACATGCCTGCTCTCACTCTTGCTTCACCTTTGCTTTCTGAAACAAACAGGATTAGGTACAGGAATTTTTCTTGCTTCATCTGCCCATTCTTCTGCTTATTTCCATCCAGGCTTTCTGCACCACAGCCAGCCTGGGTACACAGATCCCATTTAAACAACCACCACCTCCTCTTTTATTCAAACATAGTTAAAACTTGCCACATCTGTTCCAGACCTAGCCCTAACGATTCAGCTGTGATCTTATCTCTAGTTCTGCTGGTCTGCATGGCTCCAGTAAACTGCTGGTTGCATTAGAAGGTATCTCAGCCACTCTTCAGGACTCCAGTGACAGCTCAAATTCCTCTCCCTCCTTTTGGGAAGGGGTAAAATGTCGGAAGACCTAGTAAGTCAGTCAGGCTTGGTCAAAAGCAAGTGAGCAACTGAGTAGCAACGTGCTCCCGTTGTGTGGAAATTAAAAAATAAAGGAAGCGCAGTATCAGTCTAAGAGCAACCTCTTCAGTTTAAGGAGATTACGTCCTCCACTGCATGTCGGAGCACAATTCCTACTACCATTGAAAAGGTTTCCCCCTCCACCCAGAGCAGGAGTTTTCCTCAGGCGGGTGGGCAGCGGAGCCCCAGGACCGCGAGCCGGCACTTACGTCTGTGGAAGCTCGAAGCTGAATGCATATTCGTGCCTTCCCGAATGGATGGTGTGAAGGCCTTCTTCTGAATTGTCATCGTCTAGTAGGGGAACAAACAACACAATATGCTATTCCACCTGCACACATTTTATACGTGACATGGGCTTCTCTTCCAGAATAAAAGGGATTTACAAACTTATTGCAACACCTGAGAATGTGGTGTACCAGAAACAAGGGTCCAGATCTGGTCCATTCGTATTACGGGCTGGACGCAGGGGCAAATCTTACGTACGGAAGGGTAGGCAAGGTTGCCAGCTTCACCTTACAGAGAAGTAGAGGTTAAATTGCTTTAACTTATAATCCTGACTCTGGACACTGACACACTTGCAACTGCTGCCATTTCGAAGCCTGCCTGCAAGATCTGTAATGGAAATCATGCTTTCCACTGCGATTCCTGCTTAAAATGAAATAGAGATGGCTCTCGGACAGCATTAAGCGACCTGCACAAAGTCTGCTGTGTCAAGATTAAATTTAGTAATTCGGCTTCCTTTTATCTCCTCCCTGGCAACAGTGTCCAGAAATAAAACACCAAAAAAAGAAGGGGAGAAAGAGGGCGGGAAAAAAAAAAAAAAAAAGAGGGTGTAGAGGCACCACCTGGAAAGTACCAAACAGATTCAGGGGCACACACACAAAAAAAAGGCAAGCTGCCCGATTAACGCTGTCTGGAGCTAAACTTTTTTTATTTTTATTTTTTTGGCAGGTTAACCCAGTCTCGCTTGGATAGCAAAGACCCAGATATCTGCCGGTTCCGCCGAGAAAGCTGACCTTTGTTTATGCTCGGGATTTCTCGTACGCCTTTCAAGGCTGCAACAAATTGGCGGTTTTGCCACAAAACCAGAAAAACGCTGACTCGACCAAAATAGAAAGTTGAGAGGAATAAATAAATAAATAAACAACTGAGCGCGTCGCACATAAAAAGGGCCGGAATGAAAAAAAAAAAAAGGACAGATGTAGTGAGACAATGAGGAAGGCAAGTGCTTATATTTAATGGTGTGAAGCGTTAAATGGAGGCGGGCAGGAGGGTTTTTAAGTTCCCATTGTCCTACAGAAACGCCGACAAATCTTGGGGGGGG